TTGTTTCCTCTACTAACTTCTCCCTTTTACTTGTGACAGATGTATTTGCTTCAGCAGTTGTAAGAACTTAGAAAAGAAGTATTATTTGTGTGCATAGGCATATCTGCTATAGGCAATCTTTGAGGCAAGGTATATCTTTGATTCAGTGTATATTTCATTTTTTAATTAACATACTTGAATTCATGTTACGCCTCATGCTAGAAGGTCTTATAGGAGTACGCAACATAGATTTTGAACACTTTTAGTCAAATACTTGTAGCTTTGCTGTAAATATACTAGTGCAGTAGTGTTTCGAGTTGCTTCTCTTTATTTTGATGTTTAGTACATTATTATCAGTGTCAAGGTTTAGATATGCAGGCTTTGTTGAAACTTCTGTGTATGGTCCAAATGTAGAATCTCTTGTAAGGAATGATGTATAAGCTCCTGTAAATTTGATTGTTTGAGCTAATGACAAGATTCTATAGCAAGATGAAAAATCATTCTTTTTCCCCATGGCTTTCATGGCCGAGTATGTTTCAGTGTGTTATCGTGCTTGATGACAATGATCATTGTGACAAAATGCTATCTAGTCTGATTGTTCATAATCTATCTGAACTCCTATATATTGAATATATTATCAAATGCCTGCTCTTAGTATAAAACTCTAATATACGAATTATAAAATTTGGTTGCTGAACACATGCTAATAGCCTAATAATAGCCAATTTTACCAGAAATACCACTCTTTCTGTCTCCCAGCGACTAGCCACGGCCCACAGGTTCATGGCCTTCCAACACCGCGCTTCATCTAAAGCCATACCAGCTACCAGATACCTGTCTAACCTTCTAGTTTTCATTTGTTCCTTTTTGTTCGGCTCAATTTTCTTAATGGTTTCTCCCTTTGATAAATAATACTTCCTCCGTTTTTTTAGTTGACACCATTTGACTTTTACAATATTCACGGAACACGCTTTGACTTGTTTTGTGGTTTATGGATACGATAAATCATATTCATGTGGGATCTTGTTTGAATCGTTTCAATGTATATTTTATTAATATCCACTTTTTATAATTTTACAGTGTTCATAATTAGAGATATTAATCGTTTAAAATAAGCATTGACAAGCGTGATAATAGAAAGGTATCCAGTAAAAAAAAAGGAAATACGTCCTATGCTATTCAATTGATTATAAGAAGGATAATCACTTTACTCTAAAATTTGATCCCTTTAATTTTGTCTCTTATCAGCTTCACGCCTTCACTCAATCCCAAAATTGTGAAAATGACAAAAAATTAATTGTATTGGGGTGAACAAAAAGGGAACGGAAGAATTCACACGAGAATTTCTTGGTTTTTACCTACTTGAGTCCAAGTTGGACTCTACCAAGGGGTTAAAAAGTAATTATACGTAAAAGTTGTCCTGTTGTATAATAAAAAAAGCAGAGGTGTAGGCTCCTTGTGTACAATACAAATTTTGAATTTCAAAGTTTAAAAAGAAGTTGGTTTTAATTGTAAAGAGGTGCGCTTTTAAAGGAGAGAGAAAGCGATTTGAGTACTTTACTAAGGAGAGTGAGAAATTGAAAGAGAGAAATTCAAGAGGCGAAGAGACGCGAGACCAAGAATTCAAGGAGACGAAGCCTTTGAATTAAGAAATTCTGGGTCGATGATTCGGTGAAGTTGTCGTGGTACCGAAGTATCGTTGTAATACCATCTACTTTCTTGATGAAATCTACCTGGTTGCTTAGAATACCATCATGATGTTCGACGATATTGATTATAAACACCTTTCTGGATTTAGTTAGTATTGATTAATATACTGAAGAGGGTATGGTATCTTGGTTATGTAAGTTTGATGATAAATGTATATTACGAAGTATTTTAAAATTACGAGCAAAATCCATGCAGCTTCAATTTAATGTATTGTTTAAAATGTTGGCTTTGTGTTTGAGGGGGCAGCCAAAGTAAATGGGGTAACTCCATTAATTTTTTTCCCCAATAATTTGAGAAGGAAAATTTTGGGAAAAAAATTCACCTGCCATGATTCTGTGAAAATTTTGGGAATGAAAACTCATGATACAAAGGGGCCCCATTCTATTATCTAGCACTTTGTTTTTACCCTACTTTTTCAGCTAATTTGTTTTTTTAGCAAGCCTTTTTAATTTTTTTTTTAAACCCTTGGTAGAGTCCAACTTGGAATCAAGTAGGTAGAGACCAAGAAATTCTCGAATTTACACGGCAACTTTAAGGCAGCTGAGTTTTTGGGGTCATGTCAAGCAGCTCAAGCTTGTTGTATGTATGCAATCTTCAATTTTCAAATCAATATGATATGACTTAATATACTTGATTTAGAAACGATGTACTGCATAAGAAAGCGGACCATGGACATTATTCAATAGGAATAATCTTATAATCTATAACACTATAACATGCTCAACTTTTAGTCATCTGTGATAAACAACCCTACCTTTTGATAATTTTATAATGGGTTCAACTTTGAGGGATCCTTCCCAAAATGGTCCCTAACTTGCATAACGAGTTAAGAGTGTCATGTGTTGTATTTTTGTTTAGTGTTTGTTTAAAGAAAACCTCCACCACCCTATCTCAACCCACCTTCACCCTTTTTCACCATCAAGTCTACCAAGCCACCCTCAACTCCAATTGCATCCCATACACCCCTTAACCATTGACCCCTCTAACCACCTTTCCGACCATAATCAAATCACCTCATTCTCGATCTCTTTTTCTCTCATGATCATAATCCACCAACCACCCTAGCTTGTAAAGCTACCATGACCACAACCTTTTATCTCCTTTCTTTCTCCACCATGAGCACCAGGCCACCTTCTCTATTTCTTTCTTCCTTGCCACGCCGACCGCTAGTATTAGTGAAGAGTTTTTTTTTTAATTAAAAAAAAAGGTCATCAAAATTACAACACATGACATTAGTAACTACTTAACCATTTGAACTTAGGACCATTTTGAGATAATCAAAAGGTGGAACTATTTTTAGCGGATGGTCGAAAGCTGGAACCATTAAAATCTATTTTTACTATTCAATATTTAGCGAAGAAGTCAACCTTGATACGTTATACTTTGCAATATTTAGTAAATTACAACTTACGAGTACGTTCTTTAGTTTAATCAGATTGTTTTTTAAAAAATTATTTAATTACTCCGCATTTAATTTTTAGTTTTATAAGGGTATGATTCTTACTCTTCTTGCTACGGAGTCGTTCACAAGAGGTTGTTCGCGATCTCCAAGAAACGTCTTAAATTCAACAAGATTTGCGTGTCTACATTATCTTTTATAAAATAATGAGAATATATCGTCAAGTTATAAAAATTTGACCTAAATGGCTAAGTATTGACAATGGGCAAAAAAACATTAAGCTCAAACTTGGTCACTCCAATCCAATTTAATCCTTTTTAACTTTCTCCTTTTTTAGTACTTGCAACTTCCTTGAAATGAAAATGTCATAATACTTGCAACATACCGTAATTGGAAAATTATTTAAAACACATGACCAACTAAATTATACGGAGTACTCCTAACAATCACTCACATCATTTTAATCAATAATCAATAATCAATAATCAATAATACATACTAAAAGACACACCAACAATGACACGTGTCATCTCCTGGTGTGTCCTTAGTTTTTTATTTTATTTTTTATATAAAAAAATAAAATCGTATTTCGAAAATAAATCTAATACTATGTACATAAATAAAAGATAACAATTTTATACATAAATAAAATATATCAATAATATATACTAAAAGGCACACCAACAATGACACGTGTCATCTCCTGATGTGTCCTTAGTTTTTTATTTTATTTTTTATATAAAAAAATAAAATTGTATTTCGAAAATAAATCTAATACTATGTACATAAATAAAAGATAACAATTTTATACATAAATAAAATATATCAAATGTATACATAATAACATAAATAAAAGATTTAATGTATTCTTTCATTTTATATATATATATATATATATATATATATATATATATATATATATATATATATATATATATATATATATATATATATATATATATATATATATAACCAAGTTATAATGAGAACCAAGGCTAAAATAAGAACTAGGAACTAATCTAGGCCCTTAGATCATGTTAATCCGACCGCTCACATGCTTCCCGTGTCATTAACTGCATTTTTGTAATATTTGAATGTTATAAACTGATTCCCAGTTTCATTTCTAAAAAGTAAATGAAAATTTAGTAAAAATAAATGAAATCGGTCATAGAGTAAATGAAATTGTCTTAAAAGTTTAAAAACTGGAAAAAAAAGTTGCAAAAAACGCATAATTACGAAAATGCCATTAATGAATGAAGGTGACACGTGAGCCATCAAATTGAGTGCGATCAATGACTGAGATTGGTTCTTAGTTCCTATTATTTACCTTGGTTCTTATATATATATATATATATATATATATATATATATATATATATATATCATATTTTTTAACAAAATTTGTGTTATATGGAGTGTTATGTACTACAATTATTACAACGAGGATTTTATTGTTTTGAATTTTTTTATTTGATTATTTTAGACAAAATTATGTTATATAATTAAATGTGATTTTAATATAAGAATTGTTATTAAAAATTACCGTACGTGGCATGGGACCTTAGTTTGTATTAAATCATGTGAATCCCACCTTTCTTAAATACCGTGAAAAAGTACGAATTACAACTATATTAAAAAACGAAAGAAATATTAAATTAATTGGAATACTGCAACTATTGGTATTTTTCACTCATTTTTTCTATCAACTTCTAATACTTCGTAGTTTTCTTAACATGTATGCCAAAATAGTTTCTTGGCAATAAAAATGCAACGAATTAGGTATTTTCCAATTGAATGGAACCACATAAATAAATAAAAGTACCTCAATAATCCATGAAAAACCTTAACACTATCTGCCATCCACAGATCATTTCAGGACAAAGAAAGACCACATTTACAAAATTTGACAAGGTTTGCAAAAACAAAAACTTCGCTATCTTTTACTTGAAAGGGCAGCACGACTGCAACTATTTATAAAATATCCATATGAAATTACATCAATTTGATCATGCAACAAAAAAAGGAAAAAAAAAAGGAAGGAAAAAAGGGGCTATTAGGTGAAACAAAAATGATCATTGATCAGTAATGTAAATGAATGAAATGATATTAGCTATATTTACACAATTGTGGCTAAATTGCCACAAAACTTACATTATACTACACTTGAACCATCATCGCTCCCTTTATTAGGTTGGAAGGAAGGAATTAGGGGATGCTTCAACAAAAAGGAACTCCTTTTTCCTTTCTTTTGCTCTTTCTGCTGCTCCATACACAATGACTTCTCTCTTTCTCACGCCAAATTAGCACATAACTATTTTACGCTTGTCGAATATATTATTATCCTTCATCCAAAGCGCAAATATTAGTAATAATTTCCCGTTAAGCAGAGAATATACATTCTGTCTTCTGATCTTCCGAAGCACGTAATCGTAATCCTTCCCAGCGACTTCAGTTAGCCTTTGCTTCAGCAACCCCCAGAGCACAGCAAAAGTAGATTGAGCAACGCATGCATCTGATAGTGTACCATAATGCTTCAATTGATATTGTCATAGATTGCAATGAGCACAGCTCCTCACGCACCAGCAGCACATACTTCCAGTGGGCATCAGTATGGATCAGCATGAGTTTGCAAGCAATCTGCTAAACGGATCTAATCTGCGAGAAGAGCCATTTTGTGACTTCGCCTGGTCATTGCAAGCACTGCTCACACGCAAAGTTCTCCTATTTCTTATCCTCCGGTATAAGAAATCTTCCGTGTCTAATACATATGACACCTACGACACATGCCAAATTACCGGGTGCAATAAAAAATTAAAAATAAAAACAAAAATTATTCCACACACTTGAGCTCTAAAAAGCATGCAATCAACCTTTTTCAAAATGCCTATCTCTTCCAATGATCAAAATACCTTGGACGAATTGCAAGCTATCTTGCACTCTAATACATTGACAACTTGAACTCCTTCCATAGCCTTGGAAGCACTAGATGATTCCTCTCCACTCGTATGTTGGTGTTTATTCCTGCTACAGCATGTATCTTAGCTTCAGCGGAGCTCAAAGCTCCAATCAATAATTTACAACTCAAAAATACAAACATTGCATACCTCTTCAAAAATATCCCAGGCTTCTCTTTCTTATCTGGGACAGCTGAGAGATAATCATTATGTAGATAGCTTGAAAAGTTGGGTTCCATTGACACAGCTGTCACTTCGGGTTTTTCATGCCCTTTCTCCATTAATTGGATGGACAATCGCGTTGGTGAAGATGACTGCATCATACACGAACATGTATGAAACAAATGAACCAACAACTATCCAATATTATATAACAAACTCCAGGAAACGGGAACACACACACACACACACACAGGAGAAAGTAGGAAATTCCAAAATGACATACACATTCAATACGGTATATGTTCTCATCATGAAGTAGAACACGAGCATTTTCGTGATAAACGACATCTACAAATCTCTCAGGTTTTCTGGAGCTTTCATATGCATATAGCTGAAGAAGCTTGTTGTCCACTTCCTCAGAGGCCAATATTTGAAGCTGAGATCCAAACACAAAAGCAACCAAAAAGGTAGAAAACAGTTAGATATTATTACAAGGATAAAACAATTAAATAACAAGTGCTTGGAAATTGATAGACCTGCTTGACAAGCTTGTATATAAGCTTGTCTAAAGTGAAAAGAAGATATGATTGAGTGCCAACAATGGCTCGACAATCATCCTCAAATTTGGTGTTGTCAGATGTACCATCAACCAAACTAAATAGTGCATTCATGAATCTGTACAAAGAAAACTATGTCAGAAAACCATGCACTGACCAACAAAATGGTTAAAAAGTAGAACAATAAAGCCTTCTAAATGGGAACCTTGAAGAATACAGGTCAGATGGAACTGTTTCATGGGAAGATTTCCATTTGCGGTCGGCTGTAGTTGAGTTAATCTTTGCTGATTGAATTCTTTCATACAAAGTCTGGCCAAAAATAATTGTAAGTTTTAAGATCACACAAGAATAATCAACAATAATTTGAGATGACTCCAAAGTAAACCCTTCCTTACCTGATGTAATCTAAAGAGAACATAGAACGAGTCATTTCCATAGAAAATGCGGGAAATTTTTCTTCTTTCATTTAAAGGTGCAGGGACATGCTTTGTTAGAGGCTTCACTGTTTGCAGAAAGCGTTCAGAAAGAGGCAATGATATTCCATCTCCATCTTCTTGTGCATCTGCCATTCCTTCAGCCTCACCCTCACTCTCAGCCTTGTTATCATTCCCATCATGTTCCCCATCTTCTTCATGCTCAGGAGAGCAATCCTCTCCATCACCAGACTCACTGGGGGAAACATCCCCATTTTCTGAGGCATTCTCACTGTCCTCTGATGACCTGTGAGCACTCTCCTCACCTTCATCGTCAACATCTGCATCATTTCCTCTTCCAGCATCACCTTGATGTACCTCACCTCTCTGTCTGCTTTGGTGTGGAGCACTTGAAGCACCATCATTTGGCTTATTGGCAGGCTCTGTGGCTGTATCCCCAAAAACTGCAAAATTATCCTCCTCAAAATCTCCATTTGGAGACAACTCACCCTCTTCTCTTTCTACTTTGGCGTGCCCATTAGACTCTTCGCAGTATTTAATTTCTTTGTTTTGTCCTGTTGTCACTCCATTTGATGCAGGAACTGGTCTAGTAGAATCAACAGCCTGCAAAATCAAAAGACATAGATACATTCTATCAATCAACCAAGAAAAGAGAAACTTTGCCATGACATATTAAAATCATTAAAATATCTGTGAAGTTGGTTCACTTCACTTCTTTTTCTTATCAGACAGTTACACAAATGCATTCAACTTCTAAAGGTGTGCACCAGTACAGTAAATCAGAAGGAAAAAAAGTGGCATAACCATCAATGATGCACAACAGTTAAGGTAGAGAAATACCTCTAACGAAGGTAAATTTCCACCATTTGATCTCAACTCCAGCCCATTGTTCTCTGCTGCATTCCCAACTCTCAATTGTGTGGTACTATGACCTGATACAGGGTCAAATATCAACCAGCACGTTGGGGAAAAAAAAAAATTAATAACCAATATAAAGTCAAAACTATACAAAGTCCATTGTTACAAACTGACTCTTATGCTTAAAATTGTAACGTTACAGTCACTGTTTCAGGGCAGAACTAACAACTACAATACTCATAATATCAGGTATGAAACTGGAAAGCTAAGGATGAGCAGCATTTTTCTTATTTCATTGATATTCAGTAATTGTTGCTATGTTAACATCACAATTATAAAGGATCAATGAACAAACCTGACGGGTTTTCAATGTTCCTTCCATGCAATTGCTCAACTCCAGGAGGAAGAGATGGGTTAGAAGCGGCCAATCGTTCATTAGACGTCGTTTGTTTTCCATGACCAGATATTTGATCAATCATGTTGCCATTACTCTGTGATCGAACTTGATGCAGACCACTGCTACTGGCATCAGGATACACATCATCTTTAGCATGATTGCCAGAACTGGATTGTTCTGGTGGACTACTTTCATGTTTACGAACAGCAGCACAGCCACTAGGAATTCTATCACTTTCACCAATAGCAGGACCGTCTGTTTTGGTAACCTCATTCTTGGCTCTAGTGGCATCTTCAGAGTCCTCTGCACCCTGAGCTCGAGCAGGCACGCCAAGTACAGGTTCCAGGAAAGATGTCCAGATTTTCATCACTTTATCCAACTGTTCAGCTGTACAAACTTCAGCGCAGGAATATTTTATGAGATCATACAAATCTTCATGTAACTCTGCATCAGGGTACTCAAATTCCATGTGGGATATAACAGGTCGTCTGTTTCCAGCAGCAACAGCGAAAAGCACATCATCCTCTTTACATTTCTGCTCACTAATCTCTTTAACCTCTGCCAATAAAGCTGCGAAAGAAAAGAAAGAGGATCCAGCAAACAAGTTTGTAAAACATTTCCACCCATCACACTTAATCCTTGTGTTATGAGCACATCAACCAGACAAAACTATAACAGTCTACAAAAACACACAACCCCCCCCCCACCCACCCAAGAAAAAGATAACAGAGAAAAGAACCTTTATAAAAAAACAAAACTATTAAAAATAAAAAAAAATGTTCACACACAAGCAAGAGATTTAGGCTGCAGTGCTTTTACTCAATTCCTAGACCACCTGAAGGTTTGAGAGTTTATAACAAACAAGGATGATAACTCACCCAGTTTTGTATAAAAGAGCAAATTACCTTTTGTACTCAAGCTCTTTGTGTCTTGCTGCTTGAAATAGAAACTACGATGATCAAGTGATTTATGATAATTCTTGGAATATATTTCAGCCCACACCTTGTTGAAATCAGCTCGGCATCTGGCCCATTCTTCTTGCTTTTGTTTCAAGCGAGTCAATATAACAGGCAAAGCAAGAATTGCATTCTTTTTCAATACATCCATGACATCAAGACCATGATCCCCATATAACCGCTCAATGCATCTCAGATTTATAGCTGGAAAAAAGGAAAGCAGTGTCAGACACAATACAACATCAGATACTCTGTAAATATAGCTTAAAGTTATCAGAATGTACGTGTAAAGTGGTCCTCTATCCGTATAGGGTTTTCTGATTTTATCATGTTCGAGTTGATTTTGTCCAAAAGATCTTCCACACGCTTTATTGTTACGTTCACGGACTCTAACAGCATGTCCAGTTCAAACCTGACAAATGACAATGGAACATCACATGGTTAGATAAGGATCACGAATCCTCAATAGGGTATGACACTATGACGTATGTAACAGACAGGAAGTTCGATATACGTGAGAATTATAACACACTTAATACAAGTTGATTCACTGACTTTGATGCAATGTAAATAATCAAGACATGAACTGTATAGGATAGATACCTGTCATCTTCACACCGAAAGAGGCTCTCCTCATACTGATTCTTACGCATGTGTTTAAATGAGTAATCCTCACTTCCAGAAGTAACAGAGACCCAGTGATCATTCAATACTTCAGCTCCAAGCTCCGTCCTATGGCTTGCCAAAGGTATGGGATACTGCATCATTTGCACAGACATGGGGTTACTAAAAGATGTCAAACAGGAAACATCATTTTCTATAGAGCAAACAAACAAGAATCAGCCTACATTCTTGGGAAGCAATCGATAACTAGGTGTGCAGCGTTCACAGTTGGAGAGGTCAAGCTCTTGTATAGGTTTTCCTATATACTTATCCTTGTTCGAATTTGAAGACATTCTCAGATTTGCAACTTCTTTATTCCCATAAACACCACTTCTATCAGTGCGGTCCCTTTCCCTGCTCTCACGATCTCGATCCCTGTCTTCTCTTACACTATCCCTATCTCGCTCCCTATCCTCAGGTTTTACTGATTTTGATGGACCATCGCTCCACAAAGATTCTGGCCACAGGGATTCTGGACAAAAATGGCCACTCAATATTAGGGAATTACTGACAAAAGCAGCAGAACGTAGCCAAAATTTGCGACACCTAACAAATCATATGAACTTCTAATGAAGAAAAATTGTTAACGGGTGCAAAATTAGAAAGAGGGTGTTGATTACACATACTTTTGCTTATAACACTGCCAAGAAATCCATCTGCAAAACAAAATATTTGTCATCAGAGATAAGCATTATATCTGAAAAGATGATAAAAGATAGCAAAATAGTCTCATGTTGTACCAGGTCTCTCACAGCGGGCCAAAAACTCATCAAACCCATCCACGAGTTCTTGATAATTTGCTAGTATATCACGTACCTTAAACAAAACACATAAGTGTTCAGTTTATTACTGATGAAGTTCATTGATATTAAGAGTTTAAATGAACTTCTATAAATAAGAAAACTCTTAATGCAAGGGGAAAAAAATATATTAACTTGATTTGTAACAATATTCATCACAGCCAATCTAGGTGTTAAAAGTGTAAACCAAATGGGGGGGAAAAAATAAAATAAAAAAACAGAGTGAAATGTTGGGAAAATATATTATTCAGTCTTACCAAAGCTTGCAATTCTTGTCTTGTGATTATCTCCCTGCTGTATATGTGAAGGCATTTTAAAAATTCCTGATAATCATCAGGATTATGTAACCCCTCCTTAACTTTTTCACAGAATGCAAATTCTTGGCTGTACAAACCTGCAGCAATGTCAACAGCTTAATGACATTACACAAATAAGTACGAGTGAACAAAAAGTTGACTGATATTTTATGGGTCAGCCTATTCAAGCCTTACAGACAATGGGACCTAAAACTCCTACCCCCACCTCAAGACATAAGTGGTCAAAGAAGAAAGCCAGAGGTAGGAGAATAACAATAATCAGACATCAAAGGAAAGATATTTACGTGATAAGTAAATTGCTATTGCTGACTTTAACACTAATATAAATGATACTGTTTCTTAAAAAAGTAATAATTAAGTAAAATAAAGCATATGTTCTGCTTCCTAAGTCAATAGTAAACAATCTATATGGTGTTCCAAGCAAAATGTCAAACAGGGATGAGAATCCTACAGAGCATAACCCGACATTCGTTACAACGAAAAAGCAGTTAAGCAAAAAAGTCATTGCCTCATGAATAAGCAGTTATAAACAGTTGCAAACTAACGCAAACAGTTTATATGCATTTAGTTCAGCCAACAATGAACTGTGTATGTGAGTGCCAATGCAGAAGCAGGAGCAGGAGCGTGTGCATTAAGACACAGACAAACTGCACAGCACTTAGATTCCACTTTATACACATTCAAACATTTGATAACGCCATAACCAAAGAACCATGGACCAAAATTCAAGTGAAAAATTCAAAGTCTGTATGCTCACTTTTTATAGCAGCACTCTTATCATCATAAGACCCAGGGACACTACGCGGTCCATAGTTTTCCGCACCTTGATCTGTAATAGAGTCTTCAACCCTGAAAGCAACTTTAACTTTTGTTAGAATTATCCACGCCAATATATTCCTGCTCATAGCTCTGATCATCTACTGCCAATTCTGACCTGATAATACCATCTTTTTTATCTCTTTCTTTATCAAGCCGCCTCCTCTGCTCTCGCTCTGCCTTCCCCAATTTATCATTGTCCGCATCAGAGCCATCAACATTGAACTCACGATCCTTCTGCTTAAAGCAAATAGGATAATCATTAGCAGGAAGGTCTATGTAGAAGAAAATAGCACAGCAGAAGGATCATGTAGATGAAAAAAGCAAAACAGGAAGATCATGTAGAAGTGAACAGAAAAGCAAGAAGAATGAGGAAAATACCCTATCTATCGGCCTTGTTAAAGGCATGGCTAAATTCCTGTCCCGCAAGATAGAATTTTTACCAGATGGACCATTTTGACCTGCTGTTGCTCCTGACGTATCAGGAAGAAAATGTGTGAATTCCTCAAGAAGGTCCCGATGGTCTCGGAAGAGTTCGGCTACCTGCACATAACAAATATGATAATATGTCAACCAAGATCATAATAATTAGATTTTTTTTCTCTCATTAGAGATCATTGGTTCCATAGGCTTTTGAATCCTATCTTATATCCTCTTCAAAAACTTCCTGTTTCGCCGATCACCTACTCAATGCATCATTTGCCGTAAACTTTTAAAATAAAAAATTTAATTTGAGTTAGCAGGAGTCAAAACAAAAGAGTGGGATAAGATGCAACACAAAATGGGGCACAATATCTTATTCCTCTACAAGACCACCTTCCCTCCCCTCTCAAAAAAAAAAATGCAAAATCAACCTAAAATACAAAAAAAAAAAACAAAAGCAGGGGAAAAAGACATACCTCCTGATAGACCTCACTGATGGTCTTGTTTTCTTTCCTATACATATTTAAAATGTCAAGAAATGATTTATAGACACGCTCATCGCCATGAAACCGCGACTGCAATAGAAACCCAAGCCATCTTTAAGCATACATGAAGCAAACAACATTCATTAATTACAACCCAAAAAAAGCCATATTTTTCACCTTAATTTTATTAACAAAACTAATTGCTTCTTCAAATTCAACTGGCTTTTTCGCAGGAGGATTATCATCCTCAGGAGGAAGGGTGATTTCATATCCCTTGGGCAAAAAGGTATTAAATCCCAATATTAAGTCGCGATGCCCTTTGAACAAGTCTTTAACCCTTGCTATAACACCAGTAGTGTCGATTCTACAAAACAGCATGCAAAATGCGGTTGGTTTACTACAAGTTCAGAACAATCGTATCAAACAAATATCACTCAACAAGCTCAATAATGATCAGACCTTTGGGCTTTAAAATCCTTCATAACTTCTAAAAACTCATCATATTTCTCCTTCTTCTCTTGGAACATTTCCTTCACTGCCTTCAGGTAAGCCAAGGCATCGTTAGTCGTTAATCTCTGCGGTGTAGGTGCAACAGCCCCGCCACCTCCAACCATTTGAGGCTGCCCCGAGCTTCAATTACCAAAATACAAAATGTTCATTAGTCGAAAAGTCTCACATTGACAAGATACGACTATCCATCACACAATTCACCAAAAATCAAAAAGGGATACTAATTAACAAAACAAACATTCAAGGCACCAAAGAGCAAAAAAAAACACCAATACAAACTTATATTTGATCTACTTAACTAATTTCCACAAAAGAAAAAACAAAATCTGTTACACAAATACCGTAAAGATCAAATCTTTACCCTAAAACACACTACAAAATTACCAATTCAAGATTACAATTACTAATCAGGAATCAAAACCATCAATCAAACATAATTTGAACATTTTTTTTAAATACCACATCACACTCATCAAACATACAAGCAAATTAAATATTAAATAAAATAAAATAAATTAAAGCCTAAAAAAGTGAGGAGAGAGAAAATTACCTCTCGCCGCGATAAGAACTAGCAGGTTGCGGCCGTTTAACTTGAGGCCCTGTAAATACATCATCTCTAGACCTCTTCATATCTAAAAAAATCACCACTAATTTCTCCTTCAACGAATCATAGCAGCTCTAATTTCTCACTGAATAATCGCAAAAAAATAATCTAAAAATTCCTGTAAAAAATACAGAAAAAAACGCTCATTCAGCATTTGAACGACATAAAAACAGATCTAAATAGCAAAAAATTTAAAACATACAACACCTAAAATTCAAACAATCTAACAGATCACAAAAACAAAAAAAATTAAAAACAAAAATTAATCGCATTACTTGAAAATTAAGCAACGGAAATCATAATTAACAAGTAATTAACACATAATTAAAACAACAAATCAGAACAATCAAACAAACTAAAAAAACCAGGATAATCTAATTAAATAAACAAAAAACAAAAAAAAATAAAGGATCGCTGAAAACTTACCAAGAACAAAATCTACAATCTAGTTTTTAAAAGAACACAACACAAATTACACAACGAAAAAAAATGGTGATGAAGAACAAAAACTTGCTGATTCTTCGATGATGATGAAATTAGGTTTTGAAAATCGGAAATAATTATTCAAAAAAAAAAGAGTTTTGGTTTTTTTGGTAGAGAAAAAAAAAATAAAAAGAGAGAGAGAAATGGAGGAGGGATTTTTGAGCTATGTTTTTGTGAAGGGTGATAATAATAAGTTAAGTTTGTAAAAGAGAAGCCGAAGGAGAGGCGATGAGAGAGAAAATTACTTAAAAATGAATTAAAAATAATAATAATTTGTTACAGTTGTTACGTAGTATAATGGGAGAGAATAGGGCAGTGGTATGGTGGTGTTTTTTTTTACTACCGGAGTTGGGATTAATAAAATGGGTTGGGTTAGGTTTGGTTTGGAGGTTTGGGTATATGGATGAATTATAAATGGATCTTTGTGTTATGTTTTGAGGAATTTTGAAGGCTTTTTGTGTTGTGAAGGAGTTATGGGTGAGCTTTTTGGATGAACTAATCTTATATTTACTTATTTTGGGTTGGTTTTATACTTCTTAGGTGAAGTTCTTTTATAGTAGGTGGAGGTGGGTTTTAAGTTCGACTCGTGTTGGATCGGTTTGACCTTATTCTATAGGGTTTGGGTCACATGGTATTCAGAGTTTAACTCATATTTGATGTGTTGAATTATTTTTTATAAACAATATTGAAAAATTAAAGAGTAGATTTTATTTCTTTTTATACATTGGATTGGATGTTATTAGGATACAAAATTGTTGAAATTTATGTTGTACATGGTATTACTTTATTAGGGTTTGTTTGTTTGTCAAAAGTAAGGCTGACAATTTCACCCGAATCCATGGATAACCGAATCATTCGATCCGATAAAACGGATGAAAACCCGACAAAATACGAATTTTATATGGATGATGGATGGATCGGATCGTATTCGGGTGGAGCTTCATCCATCCATCACCCAACCCATCCATGCATCTTTTTTACCTATTTGTAATACTATATAAGTATATATTTCATATATACTAGTAATATAAGTTAAACTTCGTATAGTAGTGTGAATGTTGGAAAATTTAAAGATTTTGTCAACTACATATCAAATTATTAGTTTATGTATATTAGTATTATGACTAAAGGATGGTGTATTTTATTTCACCCGATTCATCTGCGAATGATGGATGGATTGGATGTGGATGAAGAATTAAATGGTGGTGGATGGGTTGGATGACGAATGGATCGTTGGCAGATGGAGGTGGATTAAGCTCCACCCGATCCATTGTCAACCCTAGTCCAAAGGGCTATGCATACTTTGTGCACAATTACTACTTACATTCATTGATTTTGTCCAATTAAAGTCTTGAGGGTGGGTACTCAATACACATAGTTGAATTTTGTTTACAAACTTTACATGTGTCTAGATCTATACTTGCACAAAAAAAAAAAAAAAAAAAAAAAAAAAGAGTTTGTGTTTTAAATTTTCGTTTGATTAAAATTTATTTAGTTTGTCTTTCATATTATATATGAATGATTTGTGTTTCTTTGTAAATAGATTGGTCTAGCTAGTGCATATGCATAATCACGCATATTGTGTATGTTAAGCAATGAACTCTTATTATAAGCGTGTTTAATGAGAATTATATGGAAGATGGCCGCCTTGATACTAATCATATTATTATTTCCCTTAGTTAGATTTGTTACATATTGTAACTATAATCAAATTTATTTTTGGTTACTTAAAAGTGTTTCTAACTTGGACATTGTCAAATTTCAAATGAAGCAAGAAATTTGATAAATCAAAAAGTAACATATATACTAACGCATAAGGTCTAACTTCAACGATTCCACGTATATTGCATGTCTTACATGTGGTGATGGCGCACAACTGTTTTGGTTGCTTAACGCGTACGTAATCTACGATGTAGAATTGCCGAGATAAATGCATGTAATTCAAGATAAGGAGGCAATACTAGACTCTTATAAACTATTATAATCATTTTCATTGCATGATTTCCTTAATATTATACCGATTATGTCATTTTATTCTTAACTTGAGGCGAAATGTTCTCATATTGTAGTATATCAATTTTTACGTTCCCTTTGCTCATACTCACAAGAGGTTAGAATTTTGAAGCTTATTAGTGACATTGTTGACATTTTTTTCATTTTATTAGACTAATGTGGAATGACCATTGTCACCATTGAAGAGTGGCACGTGACTATTTGTTCAATTGTCAATCTTTTGGCTTTGTGTTCGCTGGTAATTTTAGCAGTAGTATACGTTGGCTTGTTTATTTTAGTCTCATGAATTTATTTTATCGAAAATAATCTAATATAATATCTAATCTAATCTAATACTTACTAATAGAACAAACCATAAAATAATATAATGGTTGATGATGAGAGTTTGATATTACAACATACAATCATTATAACCAAAAATTTAATCTGTCACTTTAAAAGTTTTATCATTTATATTTTTGTAGATTATATAAGTCGTAACTCCTCTTATTTACACATCATTTAATTCAATATGCAAAACATTAAAACGGAATAATTATCACTCGCCAGTCCAAATGATTTTTTTTTTTTTGAGGAAATAGTCCCAATGAATTATATCCTTCTTTCATTTTTTTTAAATATAAAACACAATAATAAAATAATAAGAATGGTAACTCATTGTTTCTAAATCTCTCATCATTTTAGTAGCCCGATTACTAAATCTTCTCTTTTAAATCGATTATGTACATTTGTTGGTTATCTTTGTCAGTCTTTTGTGTTGTATTGGTGGATTTTAGTTTTAGCGTTGGAAATAGGCGATTTGAATGAACTGGGTAGTAAAATGTTCGTTGTAAGTTTCTAATCATTTTTTTTAATAATAAAAGTGTAAGCATATTTTATTAATTATTGAGGAGAGATTTTAATTCAAATTATTATTCCTTTTCCAAGGAGTCCATCTAATCTGGCTATTTGAGGTACTATGTGATTATTCTATTGGCTCGTAATTTTATTGTATAATTATGCTTCATTTATATAGCATATTATATTTTGTATCCTTACTTTGTTTACATGAATAGTATACTGTGTTTCTTACATATGTCTTTTAATGATTTTCTTTTTGATCTTAAAGTTGATGTTTATCAATGTCGAATTACATACATGCCAAAATTGATAGCATTCAGTTAAAACACAATCAAATTGATTTTGTATCAAGTAATTTTGTTTACGTTTTAATATAAGAGGGCCCTTACATAACTATTTTGCCTAAATTCCTGAAAATGTCGAGACCGACACTGCATTGAATAGTAGCTTATTTTTAAATTATAGGACCGATAATGAGTAAAATAGTAATTTGGTTTTAAACTATAGGAAATTTTGCATATAATCACCTTTTAAAATTTTTTTTTTGCTAAAGACCACCAATTTTAAAAATTTTGTTGCAACTTACCACTTTTTCACCCAAATTCACCAATTGTTCACTTTTTTATCCAAATTCACCAATTGTTCTACATTGAGTGGTAGTTGCAACAAAAAAATTTAAAATTGGTGGTCTTTTGCAACTTTTTTTTTTAAATGTGGTTATATGCAAAAAAAAAATAAAAAAAAATAAAAAATCTAAAGGTGGTTTTAATGCAAAATTTCCTAAATTTTATATTAAATTATAGATCTTGTTATAATAAATACTAATAAGATTAATTCCAATGGGCTTAAGAAAAAAGTTTTGTTGATCTTTAATAAGAATATACTCTTAAATTATACGAAGTAGAATATTAGGTCATGCTGCTTAGAGGCCAAACAAATTGATTCAAAGCACATCCTAACAATTAGTAGTTTATGATTCATATTGCAATGTGTTACATATACAATCAACAAATTTTTTTTTATGGGCAAGCAAATATTTGCTTTATTAATTTATAATAATATCTTGTGACATGTATTCCATGTATCATTTTAGGTTATTATACTCTTTCTTTCCTTTTTTTTTTTTGGGTAAAAATCACAAAATAATTTTTATTTTGAGATGAATGATTTGGATAAAATATATTTCTTTTTATTATATAAATGGTACAATACTTTTCTTAAATTTCAATTATTCATTTTAATGATAAAATATCACATGAGAGAATTTATATTCTATAATTTTTGCTAATTATTGGTTATAATAATTTTTAAAAGCTTCTATTCACCCCCCGTCTTATTATAATAGACCATGAGAGTGAAAAATAACACATTGAGTTAGAGTTTCTCTCTCGATTTCCATTTTATGGCTCACTATTAAAAAAAAAAAATAAGTATATAAGTGTGAAAGATAACAAATTTAATAATGGACCATATTATTTATTTCCTTACAAAACTAATCACATACAATAAAGTTATTATTTTGCATTCTTTAAAAGTAAAAAATAAAAATTATTTTGCATAATTTAGAAAAAAATTATTACAAGTACATGATTTTCATTATTTAAAAATTTTTAAAAAAATATTTTTCTATTTTTTCCAAAATACTACTCCATTTGTATTGCTTAAACCCCAATCCCCCAATTAGGTTGCAAACCCCTTCACTTCCAAGCAACCCCTAAATTTGCGCCGCCACTCACACGGCCACCCTGTGAACACTCCGGCGCACAACCCATCTTTCTCTCTCCTCCCCGTGCAATGGCGCAGTCACTGGAGTTGCTACTCATACAGTTCTTGATGCCCGACAATGATGCTCGTCGACAAGCTGAAGATCAAATTAAGCGATTAGCTAAAAACCCAGAAGTTGTTCCTGCTTTAATTCAGCATCTTCGTACTGCTAAAACTCCCAATGTTCGTCAGCTTGCTGCTGTTTTGCTTCGTAAGAAGATTACTGGCCATTGGACTAAGCTTACTCCTCAGCTTCGTCAACTTGTTAAGCAATCTCTCATTGATAGCATTACTATGGAGCACAGGTTTTCTTTCTCTCTGTCTTTCAATTGTTTTCTTGCATTTTGATGGGATTTTATTTGATTTGTTCGAAGAATTCAGATGATTTGATATTGATTATGTAATTGAGGAATAAGTTTGGTAATGGGTGATTGAGGAATAAGTTTGATAATGGGTGATTGAGGAATAAGTTTGATAGTGGATAATCGAGGAATTAGCTTGATGATGAGTAATTGAGGAACTAATTTGGTAGTGGTTAATTGTGAATTAATTGTTGTAGTTAGGTTTTTAATTGTATATAATAAGTGATGCAATTAATGAATTTTGATATTAGTGGAATAGTGTGCAATGATTATATAGTGATAATGTGATAAATTTTGAATTTTTCATATTTGAGATATGCAAGGTGTTTGATTTACCGGAAATGATGAAATGTATGTTCTATGAAGACTTCACTTTTGAATCAGAGGATACTAACAACTCTGATGTTGCAGTCCACCAGTGCGACGAGCTAGTGCAAATGTTGTCGGTGTTGTAGCAAAGTATGCTGTTCCTGCTGGAGAGTGGCCTGAATTGTTGCCATTTCTTTTTCAATGCAGTCAGAGTGCACAAGAGGATCACAGGGAGGTATGCTTGACAGTTGCCGCTCTCTTTTTGACACTTTGTAGCTATCTTGTCACAAGACTAAATTTTGTTCATACTCCTTATTTGAATGACTGTATTGCCATCTTGCTTCATTTTTATCGATGCCTTTATGAATTTAGTTTGGCTTTTAGGATCTTGAATCCCTGTCTTGTCCCCTGAGATACATACATGTGCATTCAT